TTAGAAAAATAAACAAAAAAGGAACAAAAATAGTATTAGTCTAATGTATGCGTGATCAAGTACTAATATTACTAGAAAATATTCCCTATATGCATGTATATATGTTTGTATGTATAGACACGAACTATTTCACAAAAAAAAAATGCTTAAGCAGAAAGTTTTAGTCCTTCGAGACGATAATATGTAAATTTACCTTCAAACTGCTCGTGGCTTTTAGAGAACGGATAAGAAACGAATCTCTTGTGTTCCTATACCTTTTTTTTCTGGCAAAGCAACCCATAATACAATAAACAACTTTAATAAAAGCTAAATTTTCATAGAAGTCAATACTAAGTAGCTGATCATAGAACAAGTAATGTATAAATATAATCGTAGGAAGGACAGACGTCGAAGACAATAAGCTCAACTGGGAATTACTTGATTTTGACTGTAGAAGAGAATATAGGTAAGTTTTTATATCAGGCTTATCCATTTGAACAAATAATTGCAGCTAGCATATCTCACAAAAGATTTTCAAACCCTAGTCTAATCCTATGTAAAAATTAACAAAAATCTTAGCAAATTATCACATATGTAATACGAAAGAAAAAAGTATGATTAAATCGGTTTGTTTTACAACGATGTATGTTAAACTGAATTCAGACGAGCGTTCAATTACTTACGAGGAAACTGACCCAACTGATTCTTTGCTTTCGACTCAATTTTTTGACCATAAGTAGATCTTGATGAAAGTACGAAAATCCTAAAACCGTTCGTGCTGATGGTCGTTCGTTTCCGAAATATGATCGACATTTCGTTACAAAACAGACGATTTTTTCACTTTTTGAAAATTATTTTTCGCTGTCATCCTAATGATTTAAGCGGTGAAATTTTGCATACATCTAGCTCCATAGATGGTCTACTTGCTCCAAAGATTTCAAACAAATAGCTTGTCTAGAAGTGAAGATATCGAATTTTGAATTGTGTTAGGTATACAAGCGTGTGTTCTCACTAGAGAGAGAGAGTAATTTCTCCCTCTCCAACCACGTGCGTACGGGTAGGTAGGAGAGAAAAGGTTGATATGTACAATAAGCGTTTATCATTACCTGCATGGTACCCATTCAATATGCTTGGCATGCTAGTGGATATGTGGAGACTCAGCCTGAAGATTTTCAAAATGTTATCGACGCTTGCTTCTCTTCTGACTCGTCTCGGTGTGAAGGGAAGAAGTGTTCAACTTCCGCTTTTATCCGGTGTTCGTGGTGTCAGAGGGTGTTATGTTTTCAGCACTTCTCTGCAGATTATCGCTATCATTAAAGATACTCTTATTATTCACTTCATGTGTAGTTTGAAATGTTGCATTATTCGTGTTTGTACATACAGGAAAGCGTACGAAGCTTCGTTACCTAGTAGTTCAAAATTCGTGAATCGGTGATTATTTTTGATAAAAAACTGCCCGTTTTTCATTTTGCATCTGTCACGAACGATTTTTAGTTTTCTGGAAATAAAAAGCGGAAAAGCGTTTTTAAAAGGTCTATTGGTCTCAATAAACCCTTTTTGATAGTTTATTAATCTACGACTGTTTTTTTAGAGCGTAGGGTAACAGAAAAACAAAAATTTCAAAAAGTGAAAAAAGTCGTTTGTTTTGTAACGAAATGTCGATCATATCTCGGAAACGAACGACCATCAGCACGAACGGTTTTAGGGCTTTCGTAGTCTCATCAAGATCTACTTATGGCCAAAAAGATATTAAGAATTTGAAAAGGAGGATAAAGAAAAGTTCTCACAATGGAACGCGAATCGTGGTTTCTTTGACGGTTCCTGTTTTTCGAAACCGAGACTTTTTGATTTGCATTTCTTTTAATAAAATGAAAACACACTATTAACAAAGGTACTAAAAGATATATTTGCCTGTCATCATTTAAAAGAATCCTTCCGTTTACTATACAATGAATTCTATTTCGTTGATAAATAAATATTTTAGAGTGGTATAATCAAGCATTGTTCTTTTTTTTTACTTCGAATTTTAAGAAAATACACTGCTGCGTAATATAATAAGATGCTTTGATGTGATGAATGAACATTCTAGTAAGGGAGGACACTGGGCTCAACAACAGTGCTGTGATAAAAGTTTCACCTACCTAGTTTTGGTACTGCTCGTCAATAGAACGTACTAAACCATGCTTGTAATGAAATTTTTAGAACCATTGATGATGTTTCGGTAGTGATATGACCAGAATGTTGTCTCAGCGCTTTCTGATCAATACCTTCATCGAATATAAAAATCTCTGTAAAAATCTCTGCTAATCACTCGATGTCGAATAAAATCGAATATCTTATTTTTTATTACTATAAACTATTGGCCAAAACTAGCTATCATTCGATCGCTGACTATGCTTTATCGGTAAAATCAATCAGGCGATTGAGTTTTAGTAGTTATAGCTAAATGACGATATTTGAATAGGGCTGTGTAGTAAATTTTCTATCACAGTTTTACTCACAACACAAATCTGACAATAGATTCAAAAAAGAAAGGTAAGGATCCTTTTTTTATTATATCAGATGCGATATCTTATTTTTAGCCCAACGGACCAACAATATTTTTTGAATATTACAAAATGGTCAATTTCATGTCTGAAAATATTGTCCAATTCCCACAGTAGTGTTGCTCCTGGATAAAAAGGAGGGTAAGATTAGTTCATATCCTACTTTGTACAGTTTTCAATTAGCTATTTTTTTCTGTCCAACTTATATGTAAATACATGCCTCTGTTACGAAAAAAATTGTTTTTAGGGCAGTCACCGGCTTACAAGGCTACCAATACAAAATAGCCTAACTACTGTTCCAGAGAGATCACGGATCATTGTTTGGTCTCAGAAGATTCACAAAAAAATTCTGTATAAAGCTTGGTGTTAATCGAATCAATATCACAGGGACAGATTTTAAGCCAAACTGGCGTTTAGGAATGTTCGGTTCTCGGTTCCGGTTCTCGAGTTAAAACTGAAAGGAAAAGAACCGCGGTTTCGGTTCCGAACTTAGAACAGAATCGTGGTTCTCAGCTTAGAACCGGAAAATAATTTTTCAGGCAGTAAGAGTTCAACGAAATAGAATTCATTGTATAGTAAACGGAAGGATTCTTTTAAATGATGACAGGCAAATATATCTTTTAGTACCTTTGTCAATAGTGTTTTCATTTTATTAAAAGAAATGCAAATCAAAAAGTCTCGGTTCCGAAAAAAAAGGAATCGTCTAAAAAACCGCGATTCCAGTTCCATTGTGGGAACCGGCACCGCAATTCCGATTCTCGATGAAGAACCGAAAATAAGTGAATCGCGATTCTGGTTCCTCATGTGGAATCGAACTGCGTTTCCGGTTCTTCACGGGAACCGAATATCTCTACTGGCATCCGTTCTTTAGATTTTCCATTTTTATTTTGCTCTCGAAAACGAGATCACGAATAAAACTGTTTAGTTTCGTTCCCTTTTATTAACCTGCAAAATAATTCAGATTTGTATTCGTTGAATTTGAAATGAATCGATACAAGCTATGATAAAGTAGAAGAACTGAAATATCATATAAAACCATTTTGAAAGTTATGATAGTTTTCCTCATTGAATGTACCGTATTTTGAAAAATAATGGGAAGTATTTTCATTAAATACAAACATAATATTTTAGAGACTTTCAAGGTGGTTATTTCTATAAAATTATATTTCGCCAACAATATGAGAAAAACTAGAATTAACATACTGAAACCACCAATTCTCCTGAAACACCCGTTATACACAGCTGGAGTCTGATATATGACCATTTCTAAAAAGCATTGGCAAAAACACGGTAAAGATCTATTATAAGAGCAGCTTTAATTATCGTTTCCCGAATTAACAGACTGGTACATGACAACATATACACGATCTGAAAACTATTAGAGATGATTTGATCCCTCCAGACACAATAATTGTTAAATTGATAAATCGATATATCAACATTGTACCATTGTATCATTGACAACAAACTCTACTCAGAGCACTTTGTCACTATGATAATAGAAAAATACTAAAAGTGACTTCGTCTCAGATATGCACGCCTTCTAGAAATTATTTCTACATATCCACAAGATTTATCATCTTGAATAATGATCAATAAAAGTAGTTCCTTCGTGACTTGTGTAGAAGTTTTTTTCACTATCATGTGAAATCAAAACCACAATGTCTCGTCTATTTATGCTAAATCAATAAATAATTGGACTTTCTCAATTAATACTTAGTATTTGACTTTATCTTTTGTCAAGTGAAAGTTTTGCTCAAATACAAATACAAATAAGAAATATAATAAGATACAAACCACACAAAACATACACAAACACACACAAAATCAAATCCAGTTACTTAAAAAAAATCGTCAAAAAAAAAAGAAAAAGACATAATTGGCAACCGGAAACTCCACTGTTCAATTAGTTATAGTCGTATACAATAGTCATAGTTCTATCACAAGAAAGAAAAATACACAAACAATTTATGATCGCACATTTTAAAGCTGTTGGTGTTCACTCGTTCAATATGGAAGAAAAAAAACGAATTTCAGTGAGTAGACAATAAAATGAAAGTAATGTGAAAGCATTTGCAACTACATATTCATTCTCAAAAACAACATTAATGTACAAATAAAAACAAAGAGACTGCAAAAGAAAAAAAAACAAATTTGGAAGAAAAAAGAAGACATAAAACCGGATAGAAAAGGATAGCATACTTATTGCAATGAGGTAAAAGTTAAAAGAAAAAAAATGGTGAACATTGATACCAATAAAAATAACATTTGGAATCAATAAACAAGGAATATTAAAAAATAAGTACTTATAATTTTAATTCTTAATGGTATCAAGCGGAAAAAATGACAAAAACATATTTACAATAGAAACTTTAAGATTGTATTAAGAAAGAATTAATGACGTAAATTTCATATGAATTTTTTTAGGAGAGAAATACACACGGGTTAAAGTTCTTGTTATTTCATCATAAATGTCTACGATGAACTAAAACCAATCATTTCTAATACCGATACGGTAAAATATGTTGATGAACATAATGGTTCATTTTGGAATGTTTCACAACGACTTGTTCGACCTTCACACAATGAACAATCGATGGACAATCCATCTCCACCACTAGATGGAAGAAGAAAAAAAAGAAACATAATAGACAAGAGAGAGAGAGAGCGACACAAGATAAAAAGATATTAAAAAAATTATTTTCTATTCACACATCCACTATTTTGTAAATAAAGAATAAAAATTAATATTTCTAAATTTTATATCACTTACCCTCCACCGATGGAAATTTTCTCATTATTAACAAATAAAAATAATTCTTTTATTGCACTAATATGACTACTATTATTATTGTCAGTTGTTGTTGAAAATCGTTGATGAGCCTCTTCTGATGCTCGCCTAATTCCAATCCATGGATATTTAATTTGTTTTGGATATAAAGTAAATAAAAATGATTCACCAGTTCCAAAATAACTTTTATTATGACGCAAAGACCAAAGACCAGAACAAAATGCCCCAAATAACTAAAAAGATGAAAAATATCAATAATTTTTAATCTATCTAATAAATAATAAAAATAATTTACTTCTCCATTCGTTGATTTGACAATCATAATGGAATATTCTGTATCATTTATTTTATCTAATAATGTTTGTAAACGACAACCATGTTCTTGAGTTGTAAATAATAATTCTGGTTGAGATAAACTCAGTCGAGGTGGTAACCAGCTCCAAAGAGTAAGAAACTAAAATAAATAAAATTTAATAATTATGTCAATTTATTAATAAATCTTTCTTACATATTTATATTCGAGAATCGTATCTTTTGGTATTCGTGTTAAATTATAAGCATTATTAACAACATTTATATATTCGTCATGCGAATCATTATTTGTTTGATGATTGTTTATATTATTTGGAATACTATTTTGAGCTATTTGTACACCACCAGGTTGATTTCGATTTGCTAATAAAATTTTTTCTTCATTATCAATTAATTCATCAATTGTACGACGTTTTAAATTTCGAATATGAAATGCAACCTATAAATAGAGAAAAACATATACATAAAATTAAAAATTAAAATCTTAAAATTCTTACATGTAAAAGATGTTCGATCGATACGGGTATTTGTTGACAAAATTCATTCACTGATTGAAAACTAGATGAATCTTGTTTGAAAGCTGAAAAACGAAACATAACATTACATGTATCTTTGATATTGATATTATTTAGAATAAATTATATATCCCATAAATAATATACGTAGGCGAAGTTTTAATAGGTTAAACAATAATAAAAGTAATGTTAAGTAAATATATCTAAGACTACTTCAATCACCATTTCGTGCAAGTTAAAAAATACTAACGATTTATTCTCAACGTTACACAGTCTATTGTTAATTTTCTATAAAGCATTATCTCGTTGTAGCGTTTTTCTAAAATAAGCGATTTCGAATAGTATGCATTTTTCTAATAGCAAGCGGACATTAGACATTTTTGCTCGTAAATCGAGTTTTTCATAGATAATAATTATTCTCATATTTTTAAAGAAAAAATAAACGTTTTCAGAAAAAATTCGTGTTATAAATGTTCATGGGAAAATTTCGAAAGATATTTTTTCAATCCAAAACTTGTCGTATTATACATGGTTCGATCCAGTTTGACGAGCTGATTCTGAATACCATCTTACTTTTCAATAGAAATGCTGCGGTATCGAAAAAATTAGATTTTACCTAAAACACCAAGGTTTGTTTGAAAAATCTGTAGCGCGGTCTAGAAAAAGTTGTGCATTCGGAATTTGTTCGGTGCACAGTGATGAACATTCTGATATATTTTTAGATTAAATTAGGACATGAGAAAAAAGTGAGCAATTGATTTTTCTGACCATTGATTTTCAGAAAATCATTTAATTGGGAAAACAATTTTTTTCCTCCTAGCAGAGGTCAAAACAGAAAACGTTTTTACTAATTGATTAGCTGAAAAGATTAGAATTCAGAATATGTATCATTTTCCGACGATTAGAAACACCTGTAACAAAAAAATTTTATGTCATTAAATAGAGAATTCTTCGATGTATTCAGAGCGCTATTCAGATCTAAAAAAAATTCACTTTCGACTTTTAGCCAAATGTCCAGATGGATGCACACTGGGCAGGAGAGGGGAGACAATCTCTTCTTACTTAAAAAACGTTACTCGGAATAGCTGTATTCTTTTTATGCTCAAAACCGTTTGGCTGGGTTGAGCACTTGTGCAGAGTAACTAAATCTTTTGAGAAGCTGTGTTAAATGTTGCATAGGAAATAAAATAGTTGATATATAAAGATTTAACATGTACTATATGCTTACTAATCGGTAAAAGCACAGTTATTCACGAAAAGTCTGTTATTTTTAACAAAATTATCTCCCACCTGTCCCTTTTTCTAAAACCTGTATCGAAAACGCTGACTAAAGTCGATAATTATAATATTTTGCTTTGTAAATATGTGTTTTTCTTTAATAATTAGACTTCTCTATCGTATTACAATTTAACAACATCTGCTCTCTCTTTAATGATTGACTCTCGCCTATTTTTTTTTGTATTTTTTAATCAGTTAGTTAGTTAATTAGTTAGTTCGTTAGCTCGTGTCATCTAATAAAGCGTGATAGTATTATCAACAGAAATAATAAGTTTAGAAATATAACGTGCCTTACAATAATGTGTCGCGTACATAGGGAAAATTTTGTTGTTATAATTCTGTATTTTAACATGTCTTGTCATACATAGACATATTTACTGCTAAGGAGGATGGAACAACATATTGTTGTCATGATACCTACAGACACACAACACACACAGAACTACAAGATGAAAACAATTAAAATCTTTTTCATAAAACATACATTTTGTGTATAAGAAGAGAATAGCCATTCCAACTCTGTATAAAATTTTTGTCCCTTCAAGAAAATAACAATCCATTATTTTAACCTAAAATATGAAATACAAATAAGAATTGATGAAGAAACAAAAATTAGTTTTACATACTAAATATGAAAATGGCAAATATCGAAATATCCACCAGAACCAATCTTGATAAATTTTTTGTTTGGAATCTCCATACTGATGTTCAATAATGTCATATGCTGATTTCTTCAAATACAGAACAAATTTTAAATGAATAACTTAATTTAACATAATTTACTCAAAGTAAAAGAGACAAAACATTTTATTTGTTTTTTTTTTAATATAAAAATTGATAAAATTTATGATCTCTACTTACGTAGTATATTTTGAATAATTTTTTAAATACTCGAATTGATGCTTCTAACTGCAGTCTTGTTTCACATATTAGTTGACGTTTTTGCAATAGGCTATTTAATAAATAGAATACTTCGTGTTCAGGTAAATAATGCAGTAATAAACATCCAATTGGTTGTAATAACGGACAATAGGTTAAATCTGGATTTTGTAATGAAATTGTAAATAATAATTTTTGTAATTGTGTTTTACCAAAATCATTTAAATGGTAGAAACATATATTTGAAATATCGACAAATGAAGGCATAGTTTGCTGAAGTCGTTGTTGAGCAATCGATAAAGATCTTGAAAATGCATTTGATTGATCAGTATTTGTTAAACTATCCATCATTATTGTTGATGCTGATGTAATAGCTTGTATTGTCGAATAATTTTGAGCAGATGAACGATTATGTGAATGAGGATGCTGTTTTACTAAGAACAAACAAAATATACATCTTATATTGGCGTATGAAAATAACATAAAGTGAGCATTTTCCCATAGAGCAGGCGGATATCCGGTTTTTTGAGTTAAAAAATGATTATTTTAGCATAATATGGTCTTACTATGTGTCAGATATTAGTAGAAGTAAAAACGATTGAATTCGAAAAAAAATGTTTTTCGACAAAAAATTCCTTAGCGGGCGGGATCCTTGCCCTGAATTTTTGTCAAAAAATATTTTATTTGTAAATTTAACAAATTATATATCATACGATGCACTTTTTCATGCTGATTCCACATATCACATTAGTTTTCAATAAAAGTGTTTCTCGGCTGAGGAAAATGGAAAATATCACAAAAATCAGGGTTTTTTGAAAAACCTATAACTCCATATAAGAAAATTTTGGCATTTTTTGGCAGGCACCGTAGATCTAGGACATCAAGACGAACATTTTGGCGTAAAAATTAGTCAGATTAGACCTCCGCGAAGTCGCGCGTTTCGATTATACTGACGGGGGAACACTCCGATTTTGTTCAAATCTGGCAATTTATATGTAATCAATGGCGCTAATTACGAATATGATAGCCGTTTGTGCCCACAGACCTTCCATAGCGTTTCTCTGGAAAACCGGTTTTCTAGAAATCCCCTGAAATCCTAGCAATGATTTATCAACATGTTGGGATTGTAGCCTGAAAATTTTGCATCAAAATGAGACGCTTCCCAGCTCTCCACGACCTTTCTTTGCACAGTTACAGAATTTACAAGAGAAGCCCTAAATGTTCATTTGTCAGCTCAGAGATATAGAAAGAAAAAGGAAAATTAATTTAAGGCATCTCTTGTAAATTCTGTAACTTTACAAAGAAACATGGAGAGCTGGGAAGCGTCTGACTTTAATGCAAAATTTTCAGCCTACAATCCCAACGTGTTGATAAATCATTGCTAGGGTTTCAGGGGATTTCTCGAAAACCGGTTCTCTAGAGAAACGCTAGGAAAGGTCTATGGGCACAAACGGCTATCATATTTGTAATTAGCGCCATTGATTACGTATAAATTGCCAGGTTTGAACAAAATCAGAGTGCCCCACTTGGGAATGTTTCCTCGTGAGAACATCGTTTTTCCTAGCGTTTTCCTTATATGATCGTTTTTTTAATCGAATATTTCCATAAGGAAAAGTCATAGAATAAAAATTTTTGTTTCATTCGATAGCGCATCTAACGAAGTACTTTTGACTCCATTCAAATCACAAAACAGCTCACTTTCGATTTTCGGCCAAATGTCCGCCTATATGCCCACTGTGTGACATACATATACTTTGAAAATTTAAAAAATAATAATAAATAATAAAATAAGATTATAAAGAAAGAAACATGAATGATATTTATAACTCTGTTTTATTTATATTATATTGAACTTCATTATTTACCTGTAACTTTGGTTAATGTCAGAATATTCATCCATAGTTGTCGTCGAATGTGATGATCAATAGGCCATATTTGGCTTCTTACATACAATTTTAGACGAGAAAAATCATCATCTGTCACAGACTGAGAAGATACAATGAAGTTGTTATTATTATTATTATTGTTGTTGTTGTTGTTGTTATTATTATCGTTTTTATTATTATTGTTCAAAAAATGATTTCCCGTATTATTACGTGATAATAGATCGATTAAATCTTTGTATTTATGTAATTCTTTCGATGTCAAAGATTTATGATTAGTTGATATCGACGAAGAAGAACGAATAGTCTCATTTAAAACAATAAATTCTTTATTAAATGGATTGTTCACATCGACCATCTGTTTAATTTTAGCTCAGAGGATCTAATGAGCCTAAAATGAAATAAGGCAATAAAAAACAAAAAAATAGAATATTAATCTGTCAGTGTATAAAATGAATATACAAAAATATAAAATATTCTACTCTGATAAGATAATTTTATAAAATAATTTTATTAAAAATAGATGAAAATTATGTTTAATCAATTGAAGTAGTTGATTTTTTTTTTTTAATCAGTTCGTTTCTTATCAAAAAATTTTACCTATAAGAAAATTAACAAATGAATCTATATTTTACGTTAATATCTATGTCTCTATCGGATATTACTAGTAATTAGAATAAAGAAAGAAGTATACTTAAGTAACATTTCCTGCTGTTGTTCTTCTATCTAGTTTTTTTTCTATTTTTCGTATAATTGCTTTTTTCTTAACTCAATGAACAGAAATAGATAAAATAGTTTAACATATTTTAATGACTGATACTTCAGATTACCCTATCCTTCCTATTTCAATAACAAAAAAATAACCTAATGTTAACAGAATAATTTTCGTTGAAAAGAAAAAGTACAAATCATTGAGACAAATTCATATATTTCTGATATTTTTCATAACAAAAACAAAATTCAGCGTAAGACTAATAAAAAAAACAACAAAAAATAGTGTTTATCTCTTTACGTATTAAATTCCAAGAAAAATTTCATATTTTTATCCAACCAAACGAATTACACTTTTTTCTTTATCAAAATTTTTTATTACTTTTGACAAACAATCTACCGTAATGAACCATTAATCATGATAACCTATTAATTATGGTAAAAAGAAATAAGAGATAGAAGTCAAAAAATATCTTTTAACCTATTTGACATATACCAAAAGATGTTCAGATTACAGTTCATAGTCTAACACGCTGTGACATATGACATGAGTACTTAACACTTTATAAACGTGCCGTATTTAGATTAAACTATGAACAAAAAAAACAACCCAATAGGAGGGTAATTTATTCAAATTGATGTAATAAAATCTGTAATAATTAGATTGAATGAAAAGATTTTAGATGTTATAAATTAACATATAAAGATGAAATACTACTTTTATTATTATGTGAGAAATTTTTTCCGACATATTTATCAGAATGTCAAGCTTTTTACATGAGGGATGACTGATTTCAAACCATTTTTTTTTTTCTTTTAGTTAATGAACAAAATTAATATAAAAAGTTGGACCAGAATTCAATTTAGTTAAATGCCCTGGATACTGAGCGTTACAGAAAATATTTTAAATGTCACAAAAAAATAATTATTTCGTTGACTCTATTCACATATTTATGTCTAAATCAATAAATATTATCGTATGTCTCACATATGGACTATGTGTACTAGAATGATCTAGCCCTTTTGAATGCTGTATTTTAAATGTAATTTTTTCAACACATAGACCCTAAAAACATTGTTATCATTCTAGTATCAAAATTGATAGAAATATATAACATCCTTTAGGTAAGATGAAAAACTAACTAATGAAAGAACACCGTCAGCATGTTGATATTGACAGATTTTAGATAGATCTTTTAATGATCTAACGGCAACTATTTATGGGTACAGCAAATTCTTAGTTGATTATTTTTCTAAACTGAATTATATCGTTAATATCAATTCTAATCTATGAAAGTGAAACTAATTGAATCTAACTGTGATAGAAATAATTTTTGACTAATACTTTTATTAACAAAAACTCAAATAGAAATGTTCTTCGATTGTCAAACTTTAGTTTGAGTTAATAATATCAAAAAATATCATTTATTCTGGTCTATGTAACATCAAATGGAAAAAAGTACATTGCAATTTTTCAAACACTATTTAGTTTTCCTTCAGCAAGATGATAATTATCATTTACGTTTCAGTATTTATTAATTGAAATGAAATATCGAATTCAAGGTACTTTCTCGTTTTTCACATTCATACAACAGAAATAATGAAAAATAAATCATTCAAATACGAAAATATTTTGTGTATAGTAAGCACTAGTTAGTTGTATTCTATGTCCACCATACACGGGATCAACGTGTAAATCGACTAGTCACAGTGTCATTTTCCGACGGATAGACTCGCCGATAACCCGTCAAAAGTGGTCGAACTCGACTACTTTTCCATGAATTACCTGAGTAAGGGCGAAAAACTGAAATGGTGAAAGTAAAAATAGCAAAATACTAAAATGGCGAAAATGGAAATAAAAGATAACGGAAACTGTAAATCGGTAAGTCGAATAAGACCTTTTATTTAAAAAATTTTTGCGAAATGGTTAACGAAGATGGTAGTGCTTTTTTAGTTTATTCGTTCTCACTGAAGTTACTATATACTTTAGCTTCTGTGGTTCACAGTGAAATAATTTGATCCCTTTTATTCTAAGTTTATGAGTCTGAAGTGATTAAACTACTGTACTTTCTAAATAATGTTACTCACCGTCATCTTACCCATATCACAGCACTATATATTCAAAAGAATGTAGATGACACAAAGTGAAATCCGTTTTTGTTTTGAAAGTATAGTATTGTGATCTGTGTGAGGTGAGGATGAGAGTGAACAGCATTATTTAGAAAGTGCAATAGTTTAATCACTTCTGACTCATAAACTTAGAATAAAAGGGATCAAATTATTTCACTGTGAACCACAGAAGCTAAAGTATATAGTAACTTCAGTGAGAACGAATAAACTAAAAAAGCACTACCATCTTCATTAACCATTTCACAAAAATTTTGTAACAAAAGGTCTCATTCGGCTTACCGATTTACAGTTTTCGTTATCTTTTATTTCCATTTTTGCCATTTTAGTTTTTTATCCGTACTCAGGAATACTGTTTTCGATCAGTCAACAAAGAATTTTAACTAGTGAAACGGTAGTCGAAATATCCGTCGATCGAAATTTTTCATTTGCTTGAGCGTATTTTAAATCTTTAAAAACAAGATCTAAGTAGATCCGTCCTTGTGCCACTGTAATGCTAGAGTGTCTTTGTAGACGATACTGAAGTAGATAAGTTCGGATTCCGAGTAGTTTTCGAACGAACTAGCGACTATTCTACACAAACAAATATAATTAGTGCAGAACAATATTTTTAACAATTAGCAGAGCTAAACAAACGGAATATTATGCAAAACTGAACTAAAGTGCAAACGTTGAAGAAATGAGCTGATAGAGGATATTGGTGAGTTAATAAAACGTTCTGTGTTTCAGTATTGGAATGTTTTTATAATAATGTCCTTTGGCGTATGCAATACACTCAATCGTGATTCATATACCATAACGCACATCATCTATCGAGAATCGCTTAATTATCGTTAGTGTGCCTATAACTCAGCTCATAAATAGAATAATAACTACGTTGAAAAACAGCAATATTTTTACGATATAACTCCGGAACTATCCTCGAATAAAATTTCGTCTGCAGAAAAGGAACACCTCCATACTATAACAAACATAAAGTTCCAAGAAACCATATTGATCGGATGAAGTGTTGATAGAGAAGTGCCTATGGCAAAATTTGTATATTGTGCGTTTTTAAATTGTCGATTTTACTAAAATCTTAACCTTACCTCGAGCTATAGCTGCGAGACAGGGTAATAAAAAGATTAATGAGCTCTTTTAATGAGAAAGATGACTTAGACCAGAAATAGTCTCTATGTTTAGCACATCTATTAAAAATCACTAGTAAAATAGAAAAATGAAGATATTACGTTGTGATATGCATGGAAAATCTATTTTCTTTTTAAAATTTATTTCCTTGTCATTCTTTATGACGACACTGGAAATAGTCTAAATAGTGAGCATAGAAAAATGCGAGTGCATTGAAAAGAAATCAGAATGTCATAGATATTTGAACGGCAAAAAATCCTCTATGTAACTTTCTAGGACGCGAAAAATAAAAACTAATGTGCTTATTTTTTGCTATCCTAATAGTCTGACAGGAATTTACGAGATCGATTTTTTTTTTTTTTTTTATTAAATGGTTTACTTACTGTCGAACAAACTGTCTCTAATTTTGAGCACGCATACAATGGCCACTTTATGATAAGAGAAAAAAACTTTTCTTTGATACAAGAAAAATCGCTTTTTTTTTTTGTTTTGTTTTTTATCTTTTGAAAATGATAAAGTGTCCGTTCCTCACATTCGGCACAATAGAAAGAAAGGAAGAAACTAAAAAGTTGTTTTTTTTAGTCTTTTTTGGCTTAATAGAATAAACGTTATTATTAGACACTAATAAGATGCTAAATTTTTACTTTAAAAGAACATGATCAAAAATCAGTTCTTTTTCCGCTCTTATATATTATTACACTCATACAAATCATAAGCGAAACATTTTTACAAAAATATATGAGAAATAAACAATTAAATTTATTCTTTAAAACGGACAAGAAGAACTATGCATGATTAATAAATATTACTTTTCTCTCAGAATGTCTTCAATCTTTCTCTAATTATAATGAAAATTTTCATAGTCATCAATTACTTTTTTACCTCATTTCTTGTCTCCTTTTCTCTTCCCTTTTTAAATGTTTATCCATCTTTTTTGTACTTTTCAAGTATTTGATTCAACTTATTTTCAGACGGAAAGAATTTTACTTACAAGTATTTGTTTAGATTTTATATAAAATAAGTGAGGTTTGATCGATCTATTTTTTATTATATTCTAACAAAAAATAATGTTCTTATATAGCTAAAAATTATTTTATTCTGTTAATAGATGAATGAATGAATGAATGAATGAATGAATGAAGAAAAAAAGTACTCATTTTTTTTTTGTATGTTTGTTGAATAGAGGATTAAAAAGGAAAAACTCTTCTCTCTTATACTATCGATCGATGACAGATCAGATATGTATGTTGTCAAATCTATAGAATATACATCAAAAATAGAATATTTGCATAAAAAAAAATTATTTTATTTGATAGAAAACTGATGGAGAGAAAACTTATATTTGGAACATTATTTATTCTTAAGTGGTTTTCAAAGACGAAAGTAGTATAG